AAGCAGAAGAAAGGGGGGGGTCCTTTGCGAGGGAGGGGAGGGGGACCCCCCCGGAGGATACCCCGGGAAAGGGGGGGGGACGGGGAACGCGCCCCTTCCCAGATTTCTTCCCCTTGGATCTGGCGCAGTTGCTGTTTTGAGGTTGCGTCCTTCTTTGTTGTTGATAAGTGTGTTACATTGTTGCAAACCGACAGGGCATCGGGCTCACCGAGGAGGTGCGTCTAATACAGTGAAAGGACCAGTTATATATGTATATAAATTAAATTATATGTACTGTATATTAAATTATTTATTTAAAATATTCCCCCCCCCCATCTTTCTCCTTAAAGGGACCCTCAGTGGCTTCCATCCTTAAAGAGGCAACATTTAAAAGCGAAAACCCAGAAGTCACCCAGCAGAAAACAGCAAGAGTGGCCCCCCCAAAGGTCAACCCACCCCTTTAAGTAATTCTGTAAAGATTGCCTTTTTTCAAAATGATGTACAGGTCCTTTTTTAGGGAGAAAAGCAGGGAAGGAAGGCCCTTGGCTCCTCTTCAGAGCCAACACACACACACACACAACACACACACACAAACACACACCCTGTTGGGCTCCCTTTCTCTTGCAGGTCTGCGGGACGCGGTCAGCCAAGACCATTTCCAAAACCGCCTATCATCACGGCGTGGTGGTGGTCAAATGCCCCGGCTGCCCGAACCGTCACGTGATTGCAGACAACCTGGGCTGGTTCTCAGACCTGGCGGGGAAAAGGTGAGTGTCGGGATCCGGGCCTCGCCCTTGGCTTGCTTTGGATTTGGGTCTCCCAGGCGTTGCGGAAGAACCGCAGCCTGGATGGATGGGGTTGCGTGGGATCTGCTCCAAACATAGCATCTCTCGAGCAAGGCAGTTGGAACAGCTTCAATTAAAACAAACTTCTGCTGGAAATTTAAAAAAAAACTGGGGAAATCATCAGAGAAAGAAAATTGGCTATCTATAGCTAGAAAAACATACAGTAGGACTGCCATATCCATGGGGGATCAGTTCAAAGCCCCCTCGTGGATGCTGAAAAGCATGGATGACAGCAAACATTATTAAGAGTGAACATTATATATATCATGGTCTCTGGCTCCCTTTAGGGCCAGTTCTGGTCACTCCATCTTTAGGAAAAAAAATATTTCTATAATTTTTCTGTTGATATTCTGGAACTAAACCCGTTCAGCTCCCTTCTCGTTTCTCACCCGCCTCTTCGTTTACGATTAAGGAACATTGAGGAAATCCTCGCAGCCAAAGGGGAGGAGGTGAGACGCGTGGCTGGCGAAGAGGCCCTGGAATTCGTGACCAATGATCCCGAGGCAGTGGGATCCCCAAGCCAACGCCTGGAAGAAGGCGGAGAAAAAGACCCCAAATGACCACGGACGGCGCACTCTGACCTTTTGGGCGGTTCGGTTTCGGGAATGTTTGACACCAGGAATTTTGGAAGAAAGACTTTGTCTGCATCAACTCTCTTGACTTAACATGGCCATTCGCACCTTGGGGAGCGACGGATCAAAGCGTCTGCTGTTTCGTTTGTACAGACTGGGACAGGATTGAAGTGTGGTGTGTATTAGGCGCGCCAGCTTAGCGCAATAATGGGAGTTGGAAGGGGGAACCATGAGGTCATCCAGTCCAACCCCCTGCTCAAGGCAGGAATCCAAGTCCAAGCAGATCGGGCCGAGGGTGGCCCCCGTTTTCTCCAGCACTGGAGCGCTCACCGCCTTCTCCCGAGGTCATGGAATGGCGGCCAGCCCCCCCAGCAAAAAGATTGAGAGTCCACATCTCCAAAGACGTTTGGGTCACGAAATGTTTATTAAACCACCAACCCCCTGCTCTCTTACAGATATCTAAGGTGTAAGTTCATTTGGCAACTTTTTTCCGGCTTTTAGAGGGTTAGGGCAGAGAAGTACCGTACGGATCATGGCTTTTCCTACCCATGAATTTACAGCAAATAAGCATGGAAAATAAATTAGCAAATACATTCAAGTATATCAATGACGGTCCAAGTCCTGCCCATTGAGTCCACTGCGAGGAGAGGGGGGGAGCAGAGCCAGGCTGAAGGGCCCCCCCGGTCTTGGGTCGCCCACCTGAGCTGGTTGGTTCTAGGAAGAGCCGAGCCGAGATTCCTAAACCCCCCCCCCCCCAGCTTCTCTGTTTTGGCAAGGTGGGGGGTCATACCCTTCTCTTGTTAAAACGAATCAAGGGAAGATTTGAAGCAGAGAAGAGCACGATACGTGCCTGGGGTAGAGAGAGGTCGGTTGCGTTAAAGCCAATAACACAGTAAGAGCCCCGTATCCGTGGGAGAGCGGTTCCAAGCCCTTCCGCGGATGCTGACAAACACGGATGATAGCAAACGCTGTTTTAATAGCCAACGGTATACATAGCGCCATCTCTGGCCCCCCTCTAGAGGCGAGTTTTTTGGTAATTTAATAATTATTTTTTGGTGATTTTTAAAATATCTTTTTAACACTTTCTGGGTCTATCCGCTTGTTGACACGGCGGGGGGGGGAGAGTAGAGAGAGCAGCACCAGCTCCTGACCTTGGCTAAGCTAGTACGGGACAGCACCAGTGCCGTCGTTTCTGGGCTGCTGTCAAGCTGGCGGACACAGCGTGGCAAATGGTTTTCTCGTGTCCTCGGAAGGCTTCCCATTCGCTTCAAGGAGGGCGAACCCAAGGGCCTTTCCCCCGGGCCGTTCTCGTGCGTGTTTTCCCGATGATGGTGTTCTGGACCCAGAGCAGGGAGGCTCCCCGAACACACCTCCCTCCCACAAATGTTGATGCAAAAGGACACAGTCGCGCTCCGAAAAGCCTCGGGGATGTGTGTGCACGCACGTGACCGGCTCTTTTCAGCAAGGGCGCCTCAAACCGGCTCGCTCCGAGGCTCTTTCAAAACTGGAGATAACTTTGGGTGACCTCCAGCTTGGGGGGGGATCTCCTTCCCAGCAGAAAAAGGCCCAAGAAGAACTGAGACACCCCATTGTGCGAATGACGCTTCTTTTCAAGGCCGGGTAGGATTGGGGCCACCCTCTGTCTTCTAAGCTTGCTTATTCAGAGGCACTCGAACCGCAGGGGGCCCCCCCAGACCGTTGAGGCCCTTCTCAAGACGCGGGCGACGTTTCCGTTCAAAGGGGCCCCCGTTGCATAGTTATGGGTGGAGACTCAAGACCGGGGGCGGCTGGACAAGGACTAACAAACGCAACGGGGATGGCCAGGGTTCCCCCCGAAGCAGGGCGCCCGTTCCTTCTCGAACGCTGGGAATACGGGGAAGCCCACTTTCGGAGCCTCTGCTTCGGAATTCACAAGGCTTATGGCACCGTTTATATGGCTGGTCCTCGGCTGAGCCTGTGGGGAAAAAGAAAATGATTTTTATTGCTCGGCTAAAAAGGATTGTTGGCTTTATTTTACATAAAGGTGGTTGGCCTCCTCCTCCTCTTAGAACCGGAGGGTTGGAAGGGACCCTGTAGATCATCCAGTCCACCTCCTGCCCAGGAGGAGCAGTGGGGGGAATCGAACTCCCAACCTCTGGCTCCACAAACAGAGGCCTTAAACCTTGGAGCTATCCAGCAGTTTATACACCAGGCAGGTGATGAACCCACCCTTCTCGGGGCCTCGGGGCCAGCTCCTTCGCTAAAGCTGAGCCTTTGCTGATGATCCGCTGCTCGTCTCTTCAACTTGCTGCTGCTGCTCTTCCTCCTCCTCCTCCTCGTCCGCCGAGGCCAGGTCCACCCTCTGCTCATCCATCCGCTTCGCCTGGACTCGCTGGATGAGGCTGAAGAAGTCCTCGTCGGGCACGGTGGGGCCGCGGGGAACCGAGTTGGGTGGCGCGCACCGCTGGTCGTCAATGCGAGAGGACTGTAAACGATAGAAGATAAGTACAGGGAGGACTGTGGTATCTTAAAGGGGATCGGTTCCAAACCCCGACCCCCTGTGGATGCCAGGAACAGCGGATAAGTGGAACACTTCCTTCCAGTTTCTTTGGTATCCGTGCAGGGCGGAGAGAGGGAGCCCTGGCCCAATCTTGCCAAAGGACTGGGTTTCCTGCCTTCCTGTTTGCAAGGGAGGCTTCCCTGAAACCAGGATTTCCCCCTCCAATCCCCTGTACCCCCACCCCATAAATGGGGCTTCTCAGTTTCACCCGAAACTCCTTCCCTTGAAGGGACACACACACACAGAGAGAGAGAGAGAGAGAGCATGGTTGACGCACCTGGCATTTCATCAGCATGTTGAAAAAGTCATCGCCCGGCTCCTGAGAGTCGCTCTCCATCCGGAGGTGCCCCAGATTGTTGGGCGTCAGGCGGAGGCCGGGCAAATTCCCCACGCTGGCACGTTGGTCGTCGAGCCGCCGGCTCTGGGAGCTGGCAATGAGGTCAAAGAGCTCCTCGGTCTGGGGGGAAGCCATTGACGAGGACTGGGCTGGGAGGCAGAACGAGTGCAAATCATTACACAATGTGCGGCCGGTGTGGGGCTGTCCAGAGAGGCACTCACCGCCTGTCCCTGTGAGCCGGGCTTGAGGCTGCCTGCAAAAAGTCCCGGGGCCCCCTGGAAACCAAGATGTGGTCCCTTGGGGTCCTGCCTCCTCCCCACCACAACTGACAAGAGCAAACCATCGCAGCCACGAAGGCGCTCCGAGGCTGCTCTGGCGCCCGAGGGGAAGATGCTCTTCCTTGGAGACAAGGAACACGGGCCGGCGTGCTATTTTCAGGACGGAAAAGGCCCTGCAGTCCATCTGCCCTGGCTGTCAAAACCGAGCGTGATCTTTCCAGCCGAATTTCATGCCCACTTCATCGCTCTGTTGTTCCCTCGGCGGCTTCCCCCCCCCCATCGCTTGCGTCTGTCTAGCTGTCGTCCCCTCGGCCCGGAAATGTTCTCGGTTAAAATAGCTAATCCCCTGCTCCCAGCCTAACATCAAATCTGATTTAAGGAAGGAAGGGGGTTTATAATTTTTCTCACTGCGAGAAAAAAACAACCCTCCAGGCCAATCGGCCCTTCTTCCTGGCGCTCCCTGTGCGTGGGTCATCAAATCATTGGTGAAAGTCATTTATTATGCTACTTGGCTGTATAAATCCTTTGGCAATGAATCCCGCAGGCTAACTGCGCATTATAAAATGGAACGGCCGCCTTTGGACTGGACTGAATCAGGAGGGGAGACAACTCTAGCGTGTCTCGGGAGGGCCGCTTCCCACCCACACCGCTGGCCGCGGGCTGTTGGTTCACAGCGGGAAGCCAGGAGGCAGCCCGGGGGTCCCTCTTTGCCTCCCTGGCTTCGAAAGGCAGCCTACGATGGCATCTTGCCTCCATAAGCGCCCTCTTTTCTCTACCCGATCGGCAGAACCAGGGGGGAAAAAAAGGAAGAAGGCCAAGGAGAGAACAGCCACAAATGAAAACGAAATGCAAAAACAGAAGAATACGCTTTTGTGTCGCCAAGGATTCAAGAACGAGAGACTCCCGGCCTTCCACCAACACAGAAACGAAGGAATGTCCTTCCCACTAAGAAGGAACAAAGCAGAAAAGGTCCCAGTCGCTCCCCATCACCAAAGAACCTTATGTTTCCACATGTCGGTCCATCAGGGATGGGGGGGCTACGTGACTCATGGTCAAGTCGGACTAAAGTCGCACCGGCAACTCGACTTGGTTCTTTTCCCCCCAAAAAACTCACACTTAATTCGTGACTCGGAACGCGTCCACTCCCTCCCTTTTGTCTGGGGAAAGAAAGCTTGTTTTCAATAGGGACTTGGGACCAAAGACTCGAACTCAAGATCCGGGCTCAAAGACTTGGCCAGCATCCCTCACATTCAGCGAGGGTGGAGTTCAAAATTCTGGCTGCACGAAACCAGACGAAAGGGCCCGGTGGAGAGCTTGAACCCGCAGCCAACCAGTGTGTGTCTTAATCTGACTTGACGGCGAGTCCCACGGCTCAAGTCCCCCACCCCACTGGCAGCACCTAAGCATCTTGGTAGACTCACAGACTCCTCTCTCGTCCGGGGCAGGCACAGGAGCGGCCACGGCTTCGTCCTCCTCCGTCGTCGTCTTCCGGCCCTCCTCCATCGGGCAACGCTGGTCGTCCATCCGGCTGCTCTGGAATTTACTTAGGAGGTCAAAGAAGCACTCTTCCTCCGAGGGAGTCCGCTTGATTTTCTGCAAAAAATAATGGTAAATGTTTTCCATTCTTGGTTTAAAGGATATACTTTTGAGTCACGAATCCACCAGCTCTCTCCCCACATTGCGATCCTCTTTTCCAAGTAAGACCGTGAAGTACTTTGGAGTTGAGTCCTAGTTTCCTGCTTTGCAAAGCTTGGCTCCTGGGACCAATTGGACTAATTACTTAAATAATTACCTGCAATCAAAGCACCTTCATAAAGGTCCTTTACATTTTTTTTAAAGGAGGCAGAGCAAGCCTTTAGCTGTCACACTTAGCAAGTTTGGGTAAGTTTTTATAGACTGATTTTAATTAGACACCAACCGTATTCCACTTAGAGGGCATTCACATCATCTTGACAGCCTCAAATCCGCCCTTTGCTGCAGTTTCAAAAAGGACTCTTTTCAAAACAGCCGTTTGCCGTTTATGAAATATTTTTCAGAACGAGCAAATGATGGTTTTTAAGAGAACGGAGATAAATTTTAAAAGCTCTGATGAGTGTTTTTGAATCGGTGAAGGGCTAGAATCCCCACTGAAGCCCTGAAGTTTCTTTTGAGACGTGAAGGCTGCAGCAGATCAAACCCTATTTCATCCAGGGAGCCACGAACGTCCACCCCACTCTTTCCCTGCACAAGGACGGCACTGGCGCATACCAATCAGGGCCTGCCCACCAGCTCTCTACAAGCCACACCCCTGCTACCAAAGCTCCACCTACCCAGAAAGAAGCAAAAGCAAGGAGTGACACCTTTGACCTGAAGTAATGCTTGGGATGTATTCAGAGAGAGAGATTTAGGTATGTGACTTTTCAAGACTATCCATGGCCACGTGAGGATTCGAATCCAGGTCTCCTGACTTCTGATCACATCCTGACACCTGGTCTGCGGCGCCACACGGGGCTCTGTCTGGAGGCCTGTCCCCGTCTCGCAAGGGGAGTTCTCAGTAACCAAGAGATGGACTCCCACACAAGGGCGTCCATAGACGAGATTCAAGGGATCCCGTAGGACGCAATCCATCTCCCCCCTCGGTTCCTTCCTTCGGCCGCCTTCCGCACATTTCAGACAAGCTCAGGGAACTCCATGCCAAGTGAAAAAAAATTGTGCACACCAACCCCCTCTCCTCTCGTCCGGAAATCCCACGAGAGGCAAAGCAGGGTTGGGGGAAGGATGTCCGTTTTGAGGCTGGCCAGAGCTGCCAGTGGCCACATGGCCATCCAAACCTGTCCGGGGAGGGAGCGCCTGGGGAGAGCCTCGTACGCTCCAAAGGCCTCCATGGCCTCATCGCTGGTCATTCACCGCCTGTGGGGGCGACAGCTCTGCCCTCCGCCCAGGACTGCCATTCTCACCAGCACGGACAAGGTTCACGCCGGGGCTTAAATATGAAGAAATCATTCCTCTCCTTAGCAAAGCTGGAGAGACTAGGGGTGTGTGTGTGTGTGTGTGTGTGTAGAGCTATTTAAAGCAGCCTCAAAATTAGCACTGTGATCTGGGCTCTGCCTGAAAAAGCTGGCTGTGTGTGTGTGTGTGTGTGTAGAGCTTCTATTTAAAGCAGCCTCAAAATTAGCAGTGTGATCTGGGCGCTGCCTGAAAAAGCTGGTCAGGGAAGGAACGAAAGACAGAACAGAACTTTCTCCTCCTCACCAACCCAGCGGCCATCTGTTTACAGAGACCGTCCTCCAAAGCCCACCAAGCAGGAAGACGTGGATGGGAGAGGAGACAGATGTGGCTGCCTGGATGCAGCTCTGCCATGCCTGTATCAACGCCCCAATGAGGGGCCCTGTATCCAGGCCCCCCTCCTCCCTGTGGATGCTGGAAAATGCGGATAATAGAGAACACTATTTTAATAGGGAACTGAATACATAGCATGGTCTCTGGCTCCCTCTAGTGGCCAGCGGTGCCAACTTCACCTTTAGAAATATAGATTTCTGGGATTTTTCTTTTAATATTTTGAGACCACGGATCAGTGGATCAGCGGATAGGGATCCTGCTGGTCATGTCATCTGGCCGCTTCCAGTTTCATTCTGTTTGGCCTGAGGTATTTATTTTGGCTTTCCCTAGGGAAGGTCAGGTGCATCGTGCAGAGCACCCAGCCCCACCCAAAGTGGGGCCCACCCCCCTGCTTTTCTAAGCCAAGGGGATGGGCCGGGCCAACGGAGTTCTCCCGATGTTTTGAGGATGCGGTTCCCAGCCAACGGTGAGGAACGGAGGAGAATGCAGAAGGACGGCCTCTGGAGACAATATCCCAGATTCCCCCAGAGGCCTGGGGAGGGGGTCCGGCTTGGTCATCCTGGGGCAGGCTGGTGCTGCTCCGTGGAAAGCCCTCCCTCTCCTCCTGCCACCCGCTGAAGGCCAGCATCTCAGAGGCGTTAAGCAACGATGACCTTCACCACCCGCATGCATCGGTTGCTCTTGGAGGTTGTTCCTACCCTGCAGCTACCTCCCCATGCCGGGGGGGGGGGGGGGGGGGAGAGGGGGAAACACTTTCCTTTCCTACTTCCTTCCCTGGAACTCTCTTGGCAGCCTCTTCCCCAGCTGGTCCAGGGACCGTTCCCGAAATTCTGGGTCTGCTTGACTCCGACTGGACTCTCCCCGGAACTCCTGGGGAAGCAGATGTCGGACCAGATAATTTCATTTCAGGAAGGACCCCCTCCAGCCATTCCTTCCCAGCATCTGCTGAAAACAGATCAACTCATCACGTAAACCTCTCCTCAGAAACACCGAGAGGAGAGCACGCAAAATGGCTGTGTCGTTTAACCGTGCAGCTCCTTTTAAGGAAGAGAGGTGGGGGGTAAAAGTATTTTAAAATAATCAATTAATAATAAATTAACCCCACACACACACAAGGAAGAGGACCCGTTATCCTGCACCCAGACTGAGCTGCAGAATCAACGCTTCTTCTTCCCATCGGGCCTTATTATTTCCCCAAGCGGGATTAAAGTCAACGGATTTTATAGAAAAGATGGGAATTGAGCAAACAAAACTCTTGGGATTTTGCGGGGAGGGAAAAACTCAATCCATAAACAGCAAAGGAATATGCCCCCCCCCGGGGAAAAATAAAACGGCGCTTGAATGGTCTGGAAGTTCCTTTGGGGTCATGAGGGACAGCAGAGGCAAGCTTATAATCTTAGACCAGCCAAGCCGGAAGGGACCCTTTAAGATCATCAAGTCTTGCCCCCATCAAGGAAGCCCAGTTGGGGGGGGGGAATCGAACTGCCAGCCTCTGGTTTTGCAATAGTGTTTAGTCCCTTCAGCATCCTGTTGCTTAGACTATGTAAATGTCTATTAAAAAGATTTTTGGACATGTCAATTTGTGCAAATACTGCATCAAGTTCTGCAGAGGGTACCACACATACCCTTTCTTTTCTCCTCGGGCCCCTCAATTTTATCCCACGCTTAAAACTTCCAGGGAGCAACAGGTCAACTGGACGGTGTTATCCGCAGACTTTTCAAGTCTAATATTATTTTGGAAAAACATATTCCCCCCCCACCTCTTTTTTTTGGAAAGCACCCTTAAGCTGAGCCACTGTTAAAAGGCCCCCCGGGGGGGGGGTTGCTGGGTTTCCTCTTTTTTTACCATCTCCACAAGACAAGGAACTGGCATGCAAATGCTGTGGAGGCAGAAAAGAGGGGCGACTTCATGCCAAGGAAGGTATTTATAACCAGCAGGTGATGTCTCTGGAGGAGGGAAGCCTGGATATAGATCCGGAAAGTGGTTTAACTCTCGCGGGCTTGAGGTTTACCACCGTCGGCTGAAGTGAACTTTGGCAAATGTCATGATATTCTTCATATTTTCGCCCTTCTCTCCCCCCAATCCCAGATTTCATGAGGTTCAGAAAGGGTCACTAGCAGCCTCTCCCCAGCTCAGAGCGCGCCGGCGCGCCCGGGCGCACACCAGGCGCGCAACGACCCCGCAGGGGAAGCGCGCAGGGAAGGGGGGGATCTTCCCCCGATCGCCCCCTCCAGAAGCCCCCGATCGACCGACCGACTCATACCCTCCGCCCCCTCCCCAGGAAAGAAGTCCCCCCTCACCCGCCCCGCTTGGGGA